ACCAAGAAGCTTCAAGGCAGGGCTGGGCATGGCGGCCTCAGCTGGAGCACCCATAGCTGCTCTGAGTTGTCCTTTGGACATCGGAGCAAGGCCTAGTAGTCCGCCATAGCCTCGGCCTATGTATGTGAAGAGTGGGGGAGGGAGCCATGGCTATGGTGGACCTTGAGTGATACCTGCAGTAGAAAAGGGACTCGGACATGATTCTGGACCAGTCATTCAAGATTGTATTATTATTTCTTGTATGAATAAGAGAAGGGGGAGATATACGGAGGAGGAGATTGTTGGGCGAAGAAGAAGAGCCTTGTCATTGTCGTTGCTGGTGTACATCTTCTTCTTCTTCTTTCTTACTTCTTCTTCTTCTTCTACTCCTCTCATCTCTGAAGTTCATTCATTTCTTTCTGCAATTGGATGGCATTGTACTTCTCAGTGGATGTGTATCTCGAAATTGGCCAGGGTCATAACACTACTCAGGAAGCTGGCACTGTGGGTGATATGGAAACGCAGATGCACTCAGACAATCGAGGGAACAGAGGTGGCAAGAGAAGAAATGTGGTCACTACTGCTGAGCATGGCAGAGACGGAAATCAGGAGCAGATGGCGGAGAATAGCAAACTCTACGAGGCACAGACCAGAAAGACAAGCAACCAAGAAACAAACTTTTATAAGGGACTGGTTGGTAAAAGGTAAGGTGGCAACGATAGTAGACAATAGACTGAGATGGAAGAAATGGCACCAGGCAGAAGCATGAAGACCACGAGGATACATGTCGGGACACCTGGCAGAAGGTTATGAATGGTGATCAACAAAAAGAGGACCGGACACACAGGGAAAGACAAGGACAAGCAACAGAACACAGAGCGGACCCCCCCACTGTTCTCGTATTATAGGGACTCATCCGACAGGCTCTAAATAGAAGCCTGAGAGGAACAAATGGTCAGGGCGAGCTGACAGTCAATCCTCCTTAGAAGGAGCAATCAATGCTGATCAGGGATCCTTCGGCCAGACGGAAGGAAGCGTTGAGTGGGTAATATGATGTAACCCGTTTTTTGACTTGCCGGGGGCCGGACTGACGCTCCCCAGAATGGATATGGGGCCAGGACCATAAGGACCTGTTATTAAAAAAAAAAGAAAAAAAAAAAAGGTGGCAAGATCTTGTTGTGTTTTCCTCTGTTTTCTGTTCTGCTCCCCCCGCACACCCCCCCCTGCCAAGACTTTCTGAACTCTTCTTTGCTCGTTTTACACTAATCCTTGCATTCTTAATCAATTTTGCTCAATTCATTGTTTTGTTCCAATGATTTGATGCCTCTTTGATGCAGAGCAAGTTGCCCTTGCCAGGTCCAGATCGATGGCAGGGGTGGAGAGAGATTTATCAGAGTTGACAATGAGAGATAAAGCCAGGGTAAGTTGCATACATACCCATTGCAGAAAGGTTGTTGCTCTTTTGGATAAAGTTGTTGTGTGCCTGGTTGAAACGAGATACAGCATGGCATCCACACGTTCCCATACACATGTGCAACAACAAGAGATCTTTGAGAGAGCAATTCACACGACACCGGATGAGAGAATACACACCGCAGGCACTTTACACCCAAAAATAGAATGGAAATTAATCAATTCTAATTCATGTCGCGCTCTACGCACTGTTTCCCCAAGAGTCCCAACCACGTTAACAACACCCGGGAACCAATTATTTACAAAAGTTTCATCTGGGAGGCTTCTTCTTCCTCCCTCCAGTCAAGCTCTAGCTATGGAGCGGCACAACACCCAACCCAACAGCCCATCAGTCGTCCCCAGCCCTCCTGAACCTAACACGACACTCAGCAGTCCAATCACAATGCCCACTGCTCCAGCCCGATGAAGATGGATGACATCCACTTCGAAGAGCACTTGGATGGAGAGCTTCGGAGGCAGAGATGTCAAACCCCAACAGCACACAAAATAGGCGGATACACCTACATCGCTTAGGGCCTGTAAGGCCAGTGCTGTCCTAAGGTAGCTGGCTCGACCAGCTATGGCCGTCAGCAAACGCAGATGAAGAAGGAGCCTGGGCTATGGAAATTAGCGCTGCAGCCTGAACGCGACCTCCCAGCAGCACTTCATTAAAAAAAAATGAGGCAGGACCCCGGTTTCCTTGGCCTTCGACCTTTTGTAGACTCTTGCTTCCATTGACTTGACAACCTACAGCCTAGGACCGAATCTAGACCTAAACTGGGAAAAAGGGAAAGACAAAAACGACCTGCAACTCAAGGGCAGAAAAGGACAAAACAGAGAAGCCCAGTGGTTCTATGACTACCCCACAGAGACTCTCACAATCGGACATAGGGATCGATCCCAGCGAAACTCACACACACAAAGAAACACACAACCATGGTACAGGTCACGGGATCAAGCCTCGGAGAGCTCAAAACCAGACAAAAGCACATAGAAGAAGTGTACAGCCCGCATAACATTGCAATTCATTGCACTCCTACCCTCCCGGGGAGTGAGGACACTGAGCTAGGAGTGTCCACGACGAGAATGTCCGAGGGGTTGCCCTTTCTGTTCAGCCTCATAGGAGCGCACGACTGAATTTACAGACTTGAGAAGTTCCTTCGTTGTGAACCATCGGTCCTCTGTGTGAGGTTGGAAAAGAAACTTCACAAGGTATTCACAATCGGGGTCTATGCCCCGCTGATCTTCTATGCTCTCGACTTCATATCCCATTCCAGGGATAGGAGATCATAATAAATGTGGTGGCCTGTCAGGAAACGCATCACCAGGACTGAAAGGCAGCAATTTGAAGCATGGAAGACTGGATAGGGCTTGATGTGTGGGGGTACAACAAGTACGTAGGAAGGTCCAAATGGATCTGCCCCCAGGTATCAAACACTTGCGATGGGCCGTAGTATACAGACAACAACTTTCTTGAGATATCTTGTTCATCACTTAGCTCAGATCTTTTCACCAAGACCCAGTGACCTGGCCGTATAGTAGAGGGAAAGCGATGCTTGTTAGCCTGTTCGATCATCCTCTTATGGGTCTTGAACATAGTAGTTATTGACTTCTCTAGGTCTTTCTCATAACTCTTAGTGAATTCTGCAGTGTCAGGAGTATATTTAGGTTCAGACTTGTCAATGAGATCATCCAGAGGCTGTCTGGGGTCTCTAGCAAAAAGTGGCCTATAGGGTGTAAAGCTTGTAGTGTTGTGAGCAAATGTATTATACATTAGTTGTGGCCTCGACAGATGTTTGTCGCAGTTTTGTTAATCAAGTGTAATCACCAGACGAAACAAGACCTGGTTCATCACTTCAGCATGTCCATTGGCTTCGGGATGTCTCGCAAAGGTCATGTCCTGTCTAGAATGAAGATAGTCTTTTAAGAAAGACTACTAGTCATTGCTGCAGAATCTAGGATCTCGGTCACTGACAATGCAGGATGGGCACCCATGAACATTCACCCACCTCTCACAGAAAAACTCTATGACCAGAGGTACTCTGGCCTCAACAGGTAAGGGAATAAGCTCAACATACTTAGAGAATCTATCAATACAAATCATTACCTATCTCATCCCACGTGGCGTGGTCTTGCCTAAATCTGTGAAGTCAATGAACACAGACTCACCTGGACCACTAGGGACAGGTAGAGGTTTGAGTAGTCCAATAGGAAGTTGGTTGTAGACCTTGTTTCTTTGGCACAACTCACAAGTCTCCAAGTAGTGCAGGATATCGTCCTTCAACTTAGACCAATAGAAACGTTGGGTCAGAGCGGCATACGTCCTTAAGAACCCTAAGTGAACACGGGCATCATGACTTTCTGAAATCAGATGAGTAATGATCTTGCGATAACTAGGGATACACAAACGTTCTTGCCGTTGCTGATTGTGTACAGCAAGCCTGAAGTCAAGGCATAACCTGACTCGGAATTGGGGTTAGTCTGTAGATTCCTAAGGATGGGTCCAAAGATTGGGTCCTGAGGTAACACATCAGCGATGACCTGCCTGGTAGAATCATCAAAGTAGTAAATATTGATAGTGACAACAAAAGTATCACGTCTTTATGATAATGCATCAACCACCCTGTTATAGCACCCCTTAATATGCTTCAGTTCAAAGTCAAAGTCATCTATGAAGTGAATGTACCTTGCCATCTTATCATTTAATTTACCTTGTGTTTTCATCCACTGCAAGGTTGAGTGATCAGAGTAGATCTTGAAGTGTCTCCTAAGCAAGAAATGTTTTCACTGTTTGAAGGCACAAACGAGAGGATAAAGATCCTTCTCATAGGTGGAAGCCTGAATTCTCTATGCCTTTATCTTCTTACTCATGAATTCCACGTGTTTCAGGTCAGTCCCATCGTCTTGCAAAAGAATTGAGACAACTCCATACTAACTTGCATCTGTAGTCAAATGGCAAGGTAAGGTCCGGTAGTTTCAACACAGATGCTTGGGTCAAGGATTTCTATAGTCTAGAGAAATCCAACTAGCATGTAAGAGTCCCTTTGAAGGGAACATCCTTAGCCAACAGGTTAGTTAGGGAAGTGACAATAGTACAAAAATTTCTAATGAACTTTCTATAGTAGGATGTCAGACCCATGAAAGACTTGATGTCTCTAACTGTCTGTGGTTATGGCCATTCCCTAACAACAAACAACCTTAGAGTATTTTGGGGATAGGCCATCTGCAAAATCACATGTCCCAGATACACAACAAAAGACTCGCCACAAGACTCACCAAAAGATTACTTTTCTTTGTTGATTTTGTATTTGTTCTCTCTTAGAATCTGGAGAATTTTTTTAGGATGACCAGCATGGTCTTCAACAGTTTTGCTGAACACTAAAATGTCGTCCAGGTATACCACAACAAACTTACCCAGATTTGGTCTGAAAATGCGATTCATTTCAGTCTAAAAGGTACCTGGTGCATTGCACACACCAAATGGCATAACCACATACTCATAGGTGTCATACTGGGTTTTAAAGGCGGTCTTATGTACATCTTCTTCAGCCATTTCGATCTGATGATACCTGGATTTCAGATCAATTTTGCTGAAGACTTTGCAGCCTTGCACCATGTCCAGCAAGTCATCGATCCTAGGCAAGGGCGCATAGCTCTTCCTAGTGATCTTATTCATGCCTCTGTAGTCTATGCACATTATGAACTCACCATTTTCGTTTGGAATAAAGAGAACTGGTGCCCCATACTCAAATGAGCTAGGCCTGACTCATCCCTTCTCTATCAAGGATTCTAACTGCTTCCTCAACGTATTTAGTTCAGCATGTGACATTTTGTAGACTCTTCTCTCGGAAGGGGTAGAGTCAAGCATAATTTGGATATGGTACTTGTTATGCCTACAAACAAGTCCAATAGGCTCTTAAGCCAAATCAGCAAACTCATCGACCACCTGGTGGATGGAAAGATCAATCTGAGAAGGGGAGGAGTTTGAATCTGTTTGAGTGACATAAGCGACAAATAGATTCTCATGGCCAGTCTCCTTCGACAAGTTGTAAGATTCCCTAGCTTTCAGGGAGTAACAACTTGTCTTAAGATGGTGGCCAATAGCTAGGACACATTATCTTAGCCCACTATGTGGGTTCTTCAATTGAACATTGGGCAGCGTCAATTGAATTGAAGGATTTGTGGCTTTCAACTATTGCAGACTCGAGACCATATCAAAGGGGAGGTGGGGGAATTTATAACAATCCAAAGACTGTTTGAGTTCCCCTTTTTCATCAAAGGTGACTGATACACCTTTGACCACCTGTTTGACTGAGACCGGTTGAGAGTTACCTACCTGAATCTCCAGAGGATGCTTGAGGTATGAAACCTTGAAACCCCGATGGAGTTCCTGAACTCCATTTGGTAAAATGAAGTTTCCGGTTGCTCATCAATCAAGTAGAGTATTTTGTTCTGGTTCTGTTAATTTGAGGTTTGACCAGTTCTGATCACTTTTTTCTTCTTCTCCTTCAACAGGAGATGAAGAGAACATAGCTAGTCACGTTCCTCATCTGATAAGGTCTCATCAATAAAGGGTGAAGTATATGAGAACATTGATCCTTCTGCAGCCTCGCAAAAATCAGGCTTAGATGTTGATTCCTTGCCTGATAGGGAGCAAGTCTGTTTAGTAGAGTTGGCTGCAGCATGTGCTAGCCTGACTAGTTGAATGGTTGTTGTTGGATTCAGCTTAGGGGAATCCTTCATATAGTGGTTGCCCTTACACCTTAGACAAACCCCTATGTCCTTCCTTTTTTGTTGGACTCCTTGGATGTTCAAATCCCTCCAAGGCAAAGAGGAAGCGTCCATAAGTCTTGCTGGGCACTTGGAAAACTTGAGAAGGTTCTGCTGCACTGGGGCGTTTGCCTGACCCCTTAGAACCTAATGGCCTGTGTCCCTGGGATTGACTGACCCTTTGAAAGGGGCATCAGT